GAAAAATAATTAAAAAATTTAATAGATAGAATTCGGCAAGTGGAAAAGCAAAGTTTTTTCCACGAATGATCATTCGGATATACCGTGAAAAACCTAGAAATATTCGTGCTAGCCAATCTGACGGCTTGAATAGGTTGCAAAAAGGCATCTAAACGATTGAAGCAATCACAAATATTAAAAAGGAAAAAGGCGAGACATCTGACACAAAATAGGTCAGGTCCATGTTTGTCAGTTCCTTCGCGGATCAGTCATGTCTCGGTCAAGACTAGTGAAAGACAGTAAAAAAAGATAACACGAGCTCTAAGAACAAACCAAGAGAATGCAAATGCTGATAATATTTCATAGGTAATGTCACTCCGCACATTATCATTACCAGTATTATTGTAAGAAAGACAATGGAGATACTAAAAACCCAGATTTTGAGTGAGGATAGGATAGAACAAAAGTCAATATTGAAAAAAATGTGGCAATCCTTGAGTTATGCAGCAATAGCACAGGTTGTTAAGACTAAGTGGTTAACAGAATATGGATTATCATAGACTGGGATCCGAAAAGCGGCGTTAATCGAAAAAGACTAACTAGAAATAGTGTATTGGTCGAAATTTTAGTAGCAGACAAAGCTGAGTACCATAATGTAAACAATAGGAAGTCCAGTAATGCGATTAAGTGTGGCAGATAATTATACCAGTGTGAGAATGAAGGATGAAATGTTAAATAAAATAATGATGCATTTATTAATAATAATCTAGAGCACCAGAGGTTGAGATATACAAGATTCGATAAATGATGCTTGGCGATATCAGAATTGCAAGTAAGATGTCCATGAGGTCCCTAGAAGCAAATACGTACGTCTCCTCGAATTATTAAAGAATACGTCGAAGATCGTCGATATGAAGAGCAATATGTTGTGACTTAAGCATTATTGCGTTATTTCGACCTTGTTTTCGCAACTTAGTCAGGGCGCCAAGGAGACCTTTTGAAACGTACCTAGTCCCGTGTCCTCTGCCATAATATTTTTGATTTCCAGCATTGGGCCATTGACTTGGTACATTCACAAACGTTTCGCCGGCAAGTGAAGGCAATCCACTTGACAAATTTTATGTTCAGCCGTTGTGGCATTACTCCTCATCACTACTTTTTGTTCTATCTTATAGTGCTGTAGCTATTTCTCGCATCCCCGCTTATATGGTTTATCCACTTATTCACACAATTGTGCGATCTCATTTCCTCGAATGTCGCCTAAGACTGTCGACACAAGCGAGTTTAGTGAAATGTAATCATCTCCACCACTAACCCCAGATGCCGTTTGCAGGGATCCTGACCTACATTTTGCCCTACCCGCTCTTCAATTGTCCGCTGCTAAACATCAAAATCATTGTCTGAACTCTGGTTGCCTAAGGGCCTTCAATTCCCCTCCCCGATTACGCCACATTCGAGGATGATGGAGGTGATACCCATGTCCATGCCAGTGCCTCGGAATCTTCCTTTACCTAGGCTTTAAATCCATGACTCGATTATCTTCTCCCTCTTCCCAACTCACCTTTCGTCTCATTCTTTGGGGCCGTGTCCGGTTTAAGTCATTTTCACTGGTGCGAGAATGCTCCTCCCCCCTTTTTCCCTTTCGTCTCTCAAGATGGCATTCCTATATAATCCTGGGGAACTGGAATGATGTTCCTGTGTGTCTCTATATATATGTGCGCATGTGTGCTTAGGCTAGTATCCGCCGCGGTCAACCACGTGACCTTAAGGCCCAGATACGAAAAATACACACAAACACCTACGTATACGTATATGGCCCACCTATAAAGTTAGCCTTTAATTTCCTATCCCACGACTCACAAGTAAACCCTCCTGCCAGACAAGAGAAGTAAATCTGTCTTCCGTCCATTTTAACCTGGAAACCACAGAGACCCTCAAGAAAGGATTTCATTTTGTATTTCGGAATGAAAGGAAGGCAATCAAGTATGTTTTAGTGGAGGTGATGAATAAATTTGAAAAGATATCTGAAAAATCAGAGCTGGAAATGAAAATCATTCTAACAGTGTTGGCGCATCAGGAATCTACGCATATGGACAATATAACCAAGATACATAGATCATTGTAAAGAAACGATCAATATCCCTACAAGTCGACAAGTGACACAGTGGTGATGGACAGGAAGAAAAATACAGAAAAAATGGAAAATATTCTAGGGGAGAATACAATTTATCGACTTCTAGGAAAAGACCCAACAATTAAAAACAAAGGGGCATTACAAAAAATGCTGAAGGAAGTGAATATAAACGGGAAAATAGACAAATGGACGAATTCCCTTATGCGAAAGAATGAAAGAACCTCAGTAGCATAGGGTCTGCCGAAAGTACACAAAGAAGGAAAAAAAATTGAGACTGATAATCAGCAACAAACATAAACTGACACATTAATTAACGAAAATTATCTGCCTCAAATTAAATAAAATGAATGATAGTGAAGAACCGAAAAGAATTGTGCCAAAGAATAAAAGGCAGAAGTTTGAAAAGAAACCAACTTTTGATGAGATTTGATGTACAATCTAGGAAGAGGAAATGGATATCAAGATAAAGCAATACAATGCAACATATGGATGGTGATGAGCAAATTAAAGGACAGAGATTATGAAAGGAAAGCGAGAGGAACGGAGGAAAACGATATACATGTCTACCCTTCTGCGAATTGGCTCGGAAGCTACGGCCGATACTAGGAAAATGGAACATTCGTACAATCCTGAAGGAAAGGACAACCCTCTTCACCAGCTTGGCCACATGACATGGTGAAGTCAAAAAAATTGAGTGCTCTAGAGTTTGCAGCACAAGCTGCAAGGATTGTAAACAAAAATATATGGGAGGGACTGGAATAAGAATCATCACAAGAATCAAAGAACACCCGCAACTATGCAGAAAAATGGATACGGAAAGATCAGAGATAGCTTAACACATCGCCCTTACCAACCAAACAATTGACTGAAATGCAACGGAAGGACTGGCTTCATATGAGAAAAACACAAATAAACGTAGAATCAGAGGCTGTGGAAATCCTTTTTGAAAGAAACCTGAAGAACAGATTGAAAGGGGGTAGTCAGCGATAATTTCGCGTACTGCCTTAGCAGACTTGGAGATTCAACGAATGTATCAAAAAGAAGACGCTTGGACCCAGGACAATAGTTCAACAAAAGAAAGAGACATCACCAATGAGCGGCTCATGAGGAACAAATACAAATCAAGAAAAGACAACTACAGTGAGAGTAAGATATGGAATTGGTTAAAAATTTACTAAGGGAATTCACCTGTGAGATGTGGGACATGAAATTAAAGACTAAAGGTATAGGTGGGCAGATATAGATTACCAGTATGTGTACGTAGGTAGCTATGTGTATTTTTTGTATCCGTGTTTGAAGGGAAGTGACTGGTGACATGCTTGAATACGGCGGATACCAGCCTACACACACATATATATATATATATATAACCACACAGGAATATCATCTCAATACCCGAGGATTATATGGGAATGCCAACTTGAGAGATTTGAGGAGTGTGATTTTAGCGATTCAAAAAAGAAAAAGGTAAGCGGTGCATCCTCGCACTAGCAATAATGAATTAAACCGTACACAGGGCCCCAAAGAATGAGACCCAATGTGAATGCAGATTAGGGAGAAGATAATCGAGTCATGGAAGATTAGATTCTGAGGCACTGGCCTGTGCATGAGCATGGGCATCATATACTCTAAATCCTCGAATATAGCGCAATCGGAGACAGGAATTGAAGGCTCTTAGACAGCCAGATTTTAAGCAGATAGGAATTTTTATGTTAGAGTACCTTTCATTTCGTTTAAAGAGGCGAGTGGAATGGATTCGTGAGTTAAGAGATTAAGGGATTCCTCGAAACCCAGTGATTTTGATGTTAAGCAGCGGCCAACTGACAAGCATATAGGAAAAAAGGGAAACAGAATCTAGTTGTTGACCTCACTTCCATTTCGAGTGAGTTTTGGGTGGCGCCGCACTGACGATGCCGGCGAAACTTTTGAGAATGTGTCAAGTTAATGACAGAGGACACGGGACTAGGTACGCTTCTTAAGGTCTCCCTGACGCCCCGGCCAAGTTGCAAAATTAAAGGTCGAACCTGTCGCTAATCTTAAAGGCCCTGCTCGTCCAAGTAGGATAAAGAAAGTAAGCAAATAGATTCACTGTCGCACTTAAAAAAATCCGAATTGGACCATCCTTTCCCTGAAAAATACATTCCCAAGCAAGGTTTCTTGGGAAAATACGATTAAATAGGAAAAGGCAAATAAAATTGAAAATGAGATGTTGAATAAAGGAAGGTTAAATTGAGAAATGAGAAATATTAAACTAGGCATGAAAACAAGAGTTAGAAAACCATGAATAAAAATCAAAATGCAAGAAACTTAATGATAAACAGCAATCGTAATAAAGATTAAAATAACTGACCAAACGAGAAACTCACATTTCGCAATGTGAGCATGCTTTCATTAAAAGAAATGGGAGATGATGCAGAGGCAGTAACATTGGTAGCTGCGGTCGAAGCAACATGTTTGCTAGCCCTGACTTGCTCGATTTGGTGTCTACTTATAGAGGGCCTTGGGAGGGCTAAGGACCTTGAAGACGATGGATCTCTGGCGGAGATGACAGGTCGTGCGTGGCCAGACTCACCAAGCCCGCGTAACGGAGTGGGCGGCAAAGTGACGATAGCCGTTGATGCGACTCGATCAGGTTCCCCAATGGTAGGATGCACCGGTCGGTGTGCGCGACCACCAGATGAACCTGGCGGAGGAATTGGTGGCGGTAAAGGCGATGCATCAAATAAACTCGGCATAGCTTCGTTGACAGCGCGAACATGAGAAGCTTGGTGTTTAGTTGCCTCCGAGTTTGTGTGCTTGATTGGACGCGACTGAACAGGAATCAGTGACTGTGGGTGACGTGAATTATCGGATAGTTGTGAGTGTTGATGCACTTGAGGCAGAGGAAGGGAATGCTGGTGGTCCAGATGGAGGTGATGCAAGCGATTCGGGTGCTGATGTTGATGGTGGTGGTGATGGTGATGATGGGGATAAGGATGGTGGTGCGAGTGGGGAGACTGATGTGGGCGAGATTGAAGGCTTGTTGACTTTGATGAAGTAGAGGAAGAAGAAAAAGGAAAAGCAGAAGACGAAGAAATGCTTGGGGATAATTTTACAGGCAGGATTCTCATGACGTTAGTGACCCTGCTGCAATGCGAGCCGGCTCCGGATAGGTTCGCTGTCAGACCAGAACGATGGGGATCGCTGGATCGAGTACCAAGACACGAATTGCTCATTGAATCCACGTGACACATCTGACTGGCAGAGGGAGCAGAAAGCAGAGCATTTGAGTCGATATGAGACGGATCGGGAGTAGTGAACACCTGGGCATGAGACACGCAACTGGATTCAGATAATGT